ACAATCTTATGGTTCTTATCTTCGTTTATTCATACGCAGCCCACAGGCGCTCAGTGTAGGCTAAGTATCATGGACGACTTGTTCATGACTGTTCATTAGACTCGGAATGAAGAATCGCAACACAGATTATAACAGTCCTGACTGTGATTATTAATACTTAGCTAGACCCCTCGAGCTCAGGATAGCATCGGGATCGCAGTATACGTTGAATGAAAGGTTATTTGAATTGTACCGATCATCAGACTACACAAACTTGTAATCATTGAACGGTGAACATATATTTAATCAGAGACGGAAAGCGATAATTGAGAGGTTCAAAGAAGTAAGTCGTTTGTACTAAATTTCTACGCCAGAAACCTTCGAGTTGCCGCCCGAACCGACGGTGACACAGTACGAGGCTTTAACCTGTGCCATCTCTGCTAAAACCTCGTCCCTCATCTCTCCAAGTTGGTCCTTATATTCATCCTGTGTACGACCATGATCAGTTCCACACCGCTCTTACAGCCATGAATATACATACCGCGCCACAGGTATAGACCTCATCCATGAAAGCGGTCGTGCTCGTAATGATCGCTTCGATGGCGACACAAAATTGACCTTCAAAATCAACTTCTTCGATGGCGCTCTTCAATTCCAAGACCAAGATGAAGAGGGGCTTTATGAAGTTATTTAATAAGTTCTCCAATGCGTTCACCAAGATTTGGGTGTCGTCCCTCGACACGACGGCGCCCTGAGTCGGGGTTCGTCAGACCAAAGACGTATTTTGCAGATGGGGAGAGCAACATACCGGGCAGTCATTCGTTGCAGATACAATTTGCAAATCAAGTCTGATTCCTATGTTCATAATAGTCTGACTCATACCGTCAGAAAGAAAGGAGGGGGTCCAAGTTGAATAGGAAACGTACTGTAGCCGAATCCTTGGTAGGCATCGATTGAAAGACCTTGCAAGCATTTTCCATGGAGGTGACTGTTATAGTCATGTTGTTGATATCATTACGAACAGGGTCGACGACACTGCTACGACCCACAAAGGAGTTTGCCGTAACAAGAGACACGAGGGGAAGAAGTGCGAGAATGCGAAAGAACATTTCGAGCTTTGATTTGTACGACTACGGTGGGTGCCGTTGTTGAGCGAATGAAGGCATATCTCGAGTCATTTTATACCATTCAGTACGCAGATACTCCGCGGAAAGGAGCATTTCAGAGTCGGCCACACAGTAAGTGGTAATGGACCTGCAATCATTTGGACTGTCAGATGAGGAGTAATAAGCTAGACAGGAAGGCCGAAATAAGTGATGCTCACCACTCTATTACGAATATTACTTTTAGACTCGATTGAATCGCAGGATTTATATTGCTCGGATGACATCAGTGAGCGATGAGCGATGACCTCCCGACAATCGACGCTATAATTGAATGGACGAGGACCCATCGACGACGCGTATGCACGACCGTATGGAGTTGACATCGTCGGTCACTGTTAATATTCTGAGAGTGATACTCCATCCGGCTCCACTAGATAACGGATAGCTTCAATTTTGGACAGTAGACAGGCTGAATGACGGTTCCTAATAAGCTGTCGAGTTACCGCTTAGGAAAACGAAGAACCATTGAATATCGAACAAGTTAGAACCGGTACTTGTCTGAGTTGCCGGCGTAGTATGCGAACGAGTCGGATACGATGACTCCGGTGCGTTCTGGAATTGAGAAAGGACATAGATGACCAGACAGACACTAAGAAATTGTTCGTTGGTCAAATCAATTTCAGAACGCGTCTTTGTGCTGACACTTAGTGTACAGATAAGCCCAGATTAGGACACATAGTCAAGAGATGTTTTTCCTCCCCATTGTTACATCCAAAAATGATGCTCTATCGTGTAGAGTATTGGTAAGAACTGCAAGGACTACATAAGAGTGTCGGTAAGGAGTCAGGACGCTCCTCAAACAGAAGTACAGTCTTCACAATGATGAGCTGGCTCTGCTAAATCCTTCAATCAGAAGAGAATCAATTATAGCAGCGTCAATAAGGTAGACCGCAACGGGACATGCAAAATGGGCCTTTGCTCTACTGAGGAAAGCAGTCACGGTGAAGTAGGGACCTTCATTGTTGAAGCGCTGCCGAGGTAAGGAGCAGAGCTAGTTGATAGCTGGCCCTGAGTAAAGCTGCAGTGGCAAGTGTAAGAGGCACATCGCAGAAGATCTCAGAGGCAAGTTCAACTCCGAATCGAAAGAAAGGTGGAAAGCCTTTGCGGTCGTCAGAGCCAAATCCGGAAGTTACCGACTGCAACCAGGGGTATCGCGGGCCGAAGCTTTTTCTCGCTTACCGCCGTACGCGATTGAATCTGACATTTTCTTCAGAACTATCAGCGTAGCACCTACGACGAGTATCAAACGAGATATGACGGATCGTACTATCAGCCTCGATAACTGACCCGGCACTGCAACATAAAAACCAACCTTGAACGTGCTACCAAAGCAATTTGGAAGGCGGCATCTGAATACCGAATCAGTTTCACCTCGAACGACGTGATTCTCTGTGCTGGTTTGATGTATCTTTGGGGTATTTTGGTATACCGCCTTTAGCCAGACACGGAGCGATCGTTGTATGTTTTCAGATTATCCTTTTTCTGTGGTACAGTTCTAGTCTTAGCATTCCATAATTTGGCGATTACTGCAGCTCTACAGAAGAATAAGTAGAGGGGTTGCCTACCTCAATACAAACGTTTCATTATTTCTTGGCTCGCTCTCAGCCTCGCCTTTCTCCGTGCGGTTTTCCGGCGCTCGCGTCGTATCGCTTCTTGAATGCAACCATGATCTGTACAATGAAAAGCTCGCAACTACCGGAGCTCGGCTCCTCTAACTGTTAGCTTACTTCGAGTACAGTAAGCAGGAAGGCTAGCCCTGTCCTAACTGCTCAGGTTGAAAATAGGTTGGATCTTTTCGGCGCATGGATTGACGTTCAGGACTTTCGACGTCTTTGATTGTTTACACTGTCACTGGCCGTCCATGAATCGAATTTTATCAATGTTATTGTTAAGCCTCCCCAGGGTACCTATCTCAATTTCATAATTAGACTCGCTGTGCGGCCCGGACCTGCCGGCCAAGCTTCACGTGAAACGCCCACCATCGATAGCCACTCATCTTCCCAAAAGCCATCGGTGCGCTCATTATATCCACTGTCCTCCAGCGTACTGAAACAGCTGACAGTTGCCATGGACCCATCGTCTGTGCTTCCCGTAGAACTCCTCTCAAAGATCTTTCGCCACTACCTCACCGATCGCGAGATCCCTGCCCAGTCGTTCGATTTCTCCGATGGACTCTGGGTCCTTGGGAAAGTCAGTAGTGCATGGAGAACTCCGGCCAATTCATCTCAATCACTGTGGTCCACTATAACCATCACCGAGGCATTTCCTACCCGCGACTTCCGAAAGGACACCCTGCCACTCTCAGATCGGAGCCTAGTATCACGGAAGAAATGCCAGCAAATTCAGGAAAGAAATTCTCACCGAGATCCTCAGGCGCTCCGGAGGTTGTCCTCTCACCATATCTATATCATTCCCTCTCAGTATGCGACGTGGCGAGAACGTCCCCACTTCTGACTATCAGCTTCTCTGCGCCATTCTCGCTGCGCACTGTCATCGGTGGCAGTCTGTGGAACTTACAGGCTATCCTTACCTTCTGAATGATTTCGTATATACTCCCTCTTTTCGTCTTCAATCGTTGCGGAAACTGCATGCGATGGTACTAGACAAGGCTGTCCTGGGTCAGGTTGCCCGTCTCTGTCCAGGCCTGGTGGAATTAGTAACGGGCGCTTCGGAAGGCGAGTACACTCTCGCGAGGATCGAGATGCCTGCGCTCGAACACCTTGAAGTGTCAGGGGACACTCATGCGCTTGATTGCATCTCTGTGCCAAACCTAAAATCGTTAAAGATCAAAAGTGATCCGTTCGCCAATATACATTCTGACTACGTTGGATCTTCTCTCTTGGAATTTCTCCGTCATTCAAAATCTTCAGTGCGCGCAATGGATATCAACTGGCGTGGCACCCACGATGACCTAGTCACCATTCTGTCCCTTACGCTGTCACTCGCATCTCTTGAATGCCGTGTACCTTTCACCCAAGCTTTCTTTTGAGGAGCTGAAATCCCCATCTTCACTGATTCCTCATCTGCATACGCTCACCCTGCAGTTTCCCTACATCATTCATTTCCCCCACGTCAAATTCATTCTTGGCATGGTCGAGTCGAGGCTCGCGGGCGGCATTTTGAAGTGCATAAGGATTCTCCCAATAGGCAGGACCTCCATCAAAATGTTCGATGAGCGACTGGCCGCCATCAGTGCCCCACCCGATGTCACGGTTTGGCTCGAGGACAGCAGCGGATCGATTTTGGAACATTTCTTTGGTCCGGTAGCTGGAGAGGATTACGATGGCGCTATTTATATGCACCGAGTTTATAGCGGTTTGGTGACTGAAGACGATCTTCCATGAGAACGACCTTGATGCGTTTACTGAGTAAGCGATCCCTGTATTCGGGAATGATGATGTCACTGACGCGTATACATTTAGGTGCATGATACGAGCTTCTTTTCTCGAGTTATGGATACATACTTCGCTGTAACCACCAATAGATCATTTGCTACTTCGATACGGTGATTGTCCATAATGCTTCCTGCCTTCAAGGCTGGACTGAAAGGAGGAAAATTGCCCATGTGGGCTTGTATTGTTTCTCAATTGTGAAAGCATGTTCTATAGGAGAGAAAGCCGAAAAATTGAACGTCAGGCCCGAGCCTGAATCAGAACTAGCAATGCCTTGAGTCAGTATGCCTGTCAGGAGATCCAGCGTCGTACTCAGGAAGCCTTTCAGCAGTACTGGACCAACGGGCCAGCGAGCCAATCTTGCAGCGAACAATAAGGAGGTCGATCATGATTCATGACTGCACTGTGCGCAAGGCAAAACAGTAAACAATAAAAAAGTAAGCATATGTAGCCATGCCATCAATACGCCGAAGGGGAGTCGAACCCCTACCACTTGCTCGTAGTAGAAAGTTCACAACAAGACAACATGGAAGGCAAGCATGATAACCGTTTCACCATCGGCATAACATCTCGTTTCTTTGCCTCCGTCACAGGTACCTTGCTTTAAGTGTATTACATGGATCTTATAAATCTAGAGAATGCTTTCCGTCTTTGTGATACAGGAAGCAGCGAACAGAAACTGCCCATATGAGCGAGTTCTGGATGGCTGGAATCGGCGAAGGATACGTGTGTTGGCTCTCTGGATGAAATACAAGTAAGAAAGTGCTCGAGACGAGAAGAGAAGGTTCTCCATACTATTTGATACTGAATTCCGAATGGTATCATTGGTATGGCATCCACAGTCGAACTCGGATCGTTCCAATCGGTCGAGAAGGCAAAGCTTAGACATGACCAGCTGGAAACCAGAAGAATGATTATCTTCATTGACCAATCATTGACACTAGGCAAAGTCGCTCTTTCGGTGCCCCTTGTAACGACTAGAATGAATTGTTAACGATCATCCGATGCACAGAATCAAACTAGCCCACGCGGCCCACCCGAAAAACTGCAGTCTTATTGAAAACCGGGGACGAGCTACCGCACAGTCGCTGGATTGACTTCCAACCAATCAGATGATGACTACGAGTTCGGGTGTTTCAGAACGTTCGTGAACCCGGGGATACTGATGAAACCGAGCGTTGAACAGCTCGTGGCTCCATAATATGTCGGCTGCGAAAGACGTACATCAACCCAGAGTTGTGGAACCCATAGCATAACAATGTCCCAGATAGTCATCCCTACTTTTTGATATCCGGGGCTCATCTGACTTTGCACCAATTTTCGTGCTCTTTGTCTCCGGATATCGGGGATGGTGTTGGATCGAAAATAATGTATAGCCGCAGATGGCTTGGTGCTGGGGAAGCCGACTAAGTATTTGCATCCAGACAAGCTATTGGAATGGAGTGTCATTCAAAGATTAACGGCACAAATGTAGCACGTACAAGATAATGTCGGGCTCGCATCAACAAATTGAGGGAGCACGTACTATAATTCGTGGAGAGTCTAGAATACCTTGCAAGCGAACAGAGCAATGGGACAGTAGTTAATTCAAGGATCTTTTCTTGCTCGAACCGGATCCTGAGAGCTAAACTGAAGCAAGGAGCGAAAGAATCGAGGGAAGAGTCAAGACTCAATAGGCGTCGAATTCGGCGATTCGTCGGAATTACATATTCCACATCGCTACGCGATACATTATTTTAACCCACTGGCATGCCCAAATATCAATGGAAAGTCTAAAAGGTGAGCAGATCTATGCAAGGCAATGAGCACGCCAGGGACAACCGAAGATAAAGACGACGTACTGGGTGTCCCAATTACGAGATGGTCTCAGACGAATGACCAGGTCCTAACTCTCGTCGCAGGATTCATTGTTCAGTCACCAGGATGGATGTCGATGAGTATTCCAAAGACTTGCCGGAACCTTCCATCCATCTAGGAGAAGTCGACCGAAAGCCTCGTGCAATGCAGGCAAGACGGAGCAATGGAGTCTCTTCGACGCAGAGGTCGCCAATTCGATAGGATCAACGACTATGGCGAGTTCTTGCCCAGTAATCCTGTTACCGGACCAAGGGTTTCAGATTTGGTTCTTTCTGAGGAACGACGAATGCTAACGCATAACGACCCGTCACGCGTCAGATCTGAAGGAATTAATTTAGACCTAGCTTACAGTACTCATGACACGGTACCTTTGGCAGGCTTGAAAGCTGCATGGAGTGGAAGAAAACAAGGGATGTATGCTACCAAACCATCAGCTCGCGAACCCCAAAAGCTGACAATTGACCTACTTCATGATTACAGAACCTAGAATGTCCACTCCTGACTCCCAATGATTTCAGCCCGAAGGAAACTTGACGGAAATTGTTCACAGAGCTGAAAACGTTTCCTTAGACGCATTTCTGTCTGTTGGAAATCAGATTTTGGCGGGGAGAATTCTGTTTCTGGCCAGACGGAAACTGTATAAGGAAATTTTTTCAGTGCCACTACGCATTTCCTTTGTGCAGAAACTCAGGCATGTCAGGAGTGGTCCCGGAAAATGGACGGCCGGACTAAACATCTTTCGCCAAGAGTACATCCGAAACGGTCTTCAGGTCTGTTCGGTACAAGGCTGGTGAAAAGGGCTGGCTATATGCGCATTGGTATTGTCTAGAATTTGACGAGAAAGTCGACGGCACTAAAGACGATGGTGATCAGGTAGTACGACGGACTGCACCTCGTCTGTCATGTTCATGGGTCCGCCTGGTGCATTTGCATATGAGCCGAGTACTGATGACGGCGTCAGATCAAAAGCGCGTCGGGTTTCTAAGGTCTTCGTCTTTGTTGTCGAGTAGTTGGGATAAGAAATTTCACTCACGTGTCAGCTTTCGAAAGGCTTGGATAGGATATTAGAAGGAAAGCTTTCGCAGACTGGAAGGGTACGTACCCCGGATTGTCTGAACCGACTCGCGAGGATGTCTCGAAATCAAATCAGGCATGGCATTCGCTGAGCGACTTGCAGTCATCGTTCCATTAGAGTTCGCCGGTCAGACCATCGCTATGATGACCTGCAACCTAGCCTGGATGCATGGATAACTGCTAATGAAAATTTTGTCAATCTCAAACGCTGACTATATGGGACATGCACGCACCGCATATGCGTCCAAGTCCGAGATATTCGTCCTGGGCCTGAGGCCTAACCGACTGCTCACACTGCATATCCTAGCATATGTCCGTCTTCCTCTCGTGAATCACCTTGCTTCACACTTGGGGTCCATCCATACCTAGCGCTTATCTCTAGCATGGTCATGCAATTTTATTTAGCGCTGCCGGATAAAGATTGACGACATAAGAAAGGAGAAGTTAGAACAAACGTCTGGAGCGTACCTCAAAATCAATCTTGGCTAAGTCCGATGGATGGAGAAAAGGACGATGATGGTGGATAACAAGCATATCCGGTCCGATTTATACCGGATCAACGCGCGTGATGCCGACGCGTCAAAAACACGTCTTTATAAATAGCTAACTTTCACGCAGCCTTTACCTTCAATTTTAATCGCTGCTTTTTTTTTTGTCAAACATGAGTTCGAGTCCCACGAGTGACATGCGCCGACTGAGCTAATGAAGGACGAGACTTGAGCTTGAGAGCCGAACGACAAATGGGGATCGAACACCCAAAGCAAAAAAACCGTTATCAGATGGAGTTCTATAGGACAGAATCGAAATCCACTAAGCCACACGATATCTTCCTAGAGAAATAACCCTCTTGATCCGCTGTAATGCTACTGGCACGTAAATCATGCTCTAACCCATCTCCAAATTGCTCACCTTCAAAAAATGGAAAACGGCGGTACTATCAGCACAAAAATACATCCAGTTGAGAAAAGAAATAACACCTTGTTGGAGGCAAAATAAGTACAAGTTTATCGATATCTGGACAACTATCACTAGGCTCGCCTTTCCCCATTGATATGGACGAGGTACCCGGAGGTAACGACAGCCAGATAGGATGTGGCTGTGATGTGCAATGACTCGTAGAGGAGCATGACCACGGGTGGAACCATCTTTGAAAAGTCCAAATTTAGTCCACATGGATGTAGCATTTAGTTTAGCGGCGGGGGCTGCATTGTGTTAGACCATCAATCGTTTTGGGTCAGTTCGATCCCCGTCAAGGGGCATAAGCACGTTGACCTCAAGACACAGTCTAGAGGTGGCGACAGAAAAATTTAAAAATTCGATGTATGTCGAAGTCTAGACAACGATTAGATGAGAGCTAAGTTAGCTGTGGATACCTGTCTAACGCCATCTAAACGAGCAAGACGAGTTCAGGGATGGGATAACGTTTACCATTTATGATGAGTGCTCAGGCCTAAGGAATAGCTGAAGTCAGAACGATGGATCAACTTCAAGTTTGCTAACTCAAAGCAGAAAAGAGTACAAAAAGACTCAGGTTTCATGACTGATATGCTGAAGGGGGATCGAACCCGTTTGGTTTGCCAGTAAGCGATATAGGAAGGTAACTGTTGTACCATTGTCGTTCCAAGCATTGGCTGATCTAATGAATTAAGATGTCGGTGGCTCAGATTAATCACAAAGTCATGCATTGATAACAAATCGATAATTAACCTACCAGGTCATCTTCAAGAATGGTATTCCCCACAGATTCAATTGGGCAATACTTACTTACAGATTAAGAGTACCAGATTCCTTCAGCTCGATGTCCTGGTTCCCGCTTTCAGTGCTGTAACTTTCTGTGTGTCATACGCTGCGTGGCAGCCCGTACACAGTGCGTGTTTCACGAAGCCAGTATTTTACCCCCCACCCATCATGAATGTGTGAAAGCTGTACCCTGGCTTCGGGGGAGCGGAGCGGTACTTGGATGAGGTATATTCTCACGACATGTTCCTATCTGCTCCTTCAGAACAGTCCTGTTGCCCATTGCCAATGCGAGTGATAAGAATACAAGTCCTGTGGCAAAAGAGTGCATGATTCCGAGATAAGCCGTGAAGATCGCATGCGGGACTTCTGCAATGAGTTTAAATCTATTCGCCTAACAGTGGAAGGGTGTTTCGGTAATGTATCCCCCTCGACGTATTGAGAAGAACGGCGAAACGAGTACGGCACTTGAGTAATGGCTGAGTGTCTACTCCAAGGTCGACGATTCCGTTTTTTTTCGCAGGTTCGATCCTTGAGGGCTTCCTTTTTGACTGGGGTATGCACGGGATCGGAAGTTCGACACGGAAAACAAACACCTGGGTGTGGTAACCGGAAGGTATTTGCGCATATCCCGACCTCGACGACAGATGGAACACTGCCAACCTAGATAGAGGTTAGACTGCGAAGGAGAAGACGGCGAGGGTAGGGACAAGGCGGACAGCGGTTGGTATTTGGCACGCCAGATACATGGGTATATCTGGTGGCAACAGGCCCACATGTACGCAGTGAAGTGGGACAAACTACAAGACTTTGCTCAATGGCTTAGTCGTGTTGCCTGTGTGTCTTCGCGATGAACACAGCAGAATCCTTTACAGGCTACAGGCAAAGATGTCGCACGGTGTCGGGCTGCTTATACAAGACAGCGGGAAAGCGATTAGGATATGAAGCTCTTTGTCTTCCAACCACCTGTCGAGAGCAGACGTCATCAGGAGTTTGCACAGAGCTGATCATCACGTACTCCCTCGCTTAAACATAACACTTTGTCTTAACGGCCAAAGTGGTGCGTGCTGACTGAGACTTGAAATTTGAATCAATACATTTTTGCTTAGTTCGACTCCTCCTTCACGTCCTCATGAACGGTTCGTTTCACGTTTCACAGAGTGCCAACTATAATATGATGGCGAAATCGCATCAGAAACGAGGATCATGAATAGAAGATCACGAACAACTCTGAGGAGCATGGGATACTACCAATGCTTAATCCCAGCATAACTTCTCCATTAATAAGTATATCCTCACCAGAAGTTTGAACGAGAGCAGAAAATGTGTGTAGAAACCAACGCTTCGGAGCTGTCAGCGCTGAACCGTTACATGCTTGTCGATATCTAGACGGCAGTCAGTTTAAGCTCGTATTTCATCATAAATATGACTGACATACCCAGAGATAATGATGTCGACGTCGCCGCCACGCACACTAGCTGATAAATGAGGACGTCTTGATGAAATACCACGTCTGGATGCTTCTTTGATGGGCTCAAATCACGTCCACAAAGATGTAACACTTTAGCTTAGCGATGGGTGCTGCACTGTGCGCATTCGCAAACTTTTGGTTGGGTCAATCCCAGTTGAGAGGCATAGTCGCAAGTCGCTTTCCAGTGAAGAGGCTTTTGCACACCAGGTATAGCGAACTAAAGCCATAGACGAATGGAAGAAGACGAAGTTCACGGCTGAACGCTTCCACTTTTGATTAGATATAAACCACTTTTAGCCTAGATACCCGCAGGGTTCAAGGAAGTTAGATAGAATGATGTGACTGGTAGTGGCGAAGTGTCTTCACTAGATCTATTCTTGTCTAAACGAGCGGAAGATGAACTCAAGGACGAGATGAATGGAAATAGAACACTTACAGGAAGCGAAAGTGAGGATGACATGAGTCGTACTAGCCGGCGACTGACAGAAATCACATCAGCTTCCCACGAAGCCGAATTAATGAAAAAGGGAAAAGGTGAGTAATCGAAAGCGGCAGAGTTTCCTGAATGTAGGGTACCTAAACAAAGAAAGGCTACAACGGCGAGACGACAGATTAACCCGCTATTTTTCAGAGGGATGGGAGGTCGTGGGACCGACTTTGTACGTGGCTCCGTGACGCGTAGGTTGAAAAAGTGATCCCATAGTCTTATCACGACTTAGATACAAATCCAACAAAGAGATGTCCGAAGGTGGCGAGACTCAGGGAAAGGAGATTTCCTGACATCGTTTGAAAATGTGGATAGCCGTTGGTATTCAAAACTGAAGTTACATGGATGAATGCTGTAATCACAAGTTGTCAGCCGTAGAATTCAAGTTCATAAGGAAAGCAGACATACGATTACGGTGTCACGCTCTTGTCTGAGATGAACCGCTTGCAGAGGGAGATGTCATCAGGAGCTGCACAGAGCTGACTTAAATCTTTCTCACCTTGTACTCGTCGATTGGTGCGCTATATACAGTTCTGCGATGATGCTACCAAAGTATATCCGGTAACCATAGGCCACCATGGTTTCATCTTCCTTCCCATTAGTAGATGACGTCGACGTGATGCTGCTGGCATCTGAGAGAACTGCATGTTGACGGTCATTTCCATTGGGTTCGCCCCGATTTCGATCCCAATCCACAGCTTGTCCCGTTTAGAGAGATATCGATACCATACTCGCACGATTGCCGCGAGGCTAGGCGACTGTTTTTGGCAGAACGGAGGGAGCAGCTGATGATGACAGGAAGGAAACACGTCGAGATCAATTTGAATAGGGCACGTAGAATTCTGCGTTTGCATTTGCGTGCATGCATTTGCGTTTTCACGCATGCGTTTGTCACGTCTGCGAGAGCGTGACATGGATGCGTTTGTTGTGCGTCTTGTGCATTTTGGCTTACAAACACCCGTAACATGATTTTATTAGCTACACTGTAAGTAATACTGACTGCCTAAGAAATTTATACGCAGCATGACATCAACACTGGCCATAATTGACTTTCTTCGTCATGGTAGAGTCTGTACAGTTGAATTCATTAATGTTTGAGCTAGAATTTTAAATGTAAGAGCGCTTGGAGGTTTTAAGAGGTGTTAGAGGTCATGAGGTATGATAACCTTCAATAAATACTATGGCACCATGACCATTCTGTCGAGGAACAAGCTGAAGGAACTGAGCCAGATCCTAGCTCCAAAGCGACGACTTGACAGCAACCTGGCTATGCATGGCTAGAATATATCATAACAATAGAATATCTGCATAATAGGAGCGACTAGAAGCAAATACGGGCAGGAGAAATCGAAGCGATCATAAGTCAACTAGTTCAACTCGGACTTGAACGCATCAAACGCACCGAACGCAGATTTGTCACACGACTGTCACACACTTGCGTTTAATTTCGAACGCATGCGTTTTCAAAAGGAACGCATGCGTGCGCTATCTTAACGCTTGCGTTCAATGTTTGGACGCATGCGTGACTTATTTTTGAGACGCGTGAGTCTTTGCGTTGATTCTAGAGGTGCCTGATTTACCCAAAGTCGAGTAGTTCAACATCAAATGGTACTATAGTCGTTGTGAGACTAGAACTGACTAACATGCATGCATTTATAGCTTTTATAGATGATTCCCTTTCGTTCTTAAGTCATAGTAAGTCACAGAGATATTTCCAGGAAAGTCAGAAAAGTAAGTCATTTTTCAACAGAAAACATAATTAACCGGTATCATTGAAATGACACTGACTATCAGGATACGATGCATCTAAATGCATCGATGGGCCCACAAACGTATGCAAGTTGAACTCACGCAAACGCAGACAAACGCAGACAAACGCAGTTGAACGCATGCACGCAGATGTCAAACGCAGAATTCTCTTGGCCCATTTGAATATAGCCTCGTGTGCATCGGGCCGGCCTTTCCGTGCTATAATCGCGTAAAGGAGTACGCGTGTTGCACGCACGAAATAGGCGTGTTCATCCTAACCTGAACCATGAGGCACGGAGTAAGATATCGGAGATAGCAGTATAGAAAGGGAAGTTCCTTTCGTAGATACCGCCGGACGCCTAGTATTCGGAGATAGCAGAGACTAAAAAGCGGAAAAGGAGAGAATCCGGCACGACTAAGTAGTGAAAGGGAAGAAGACAAAAGAAGGAAGTATCACGGGAAGAGGTGGATCTAGTCAAATTTTGAAAGAGTTAGTTGCCGAAAGGAAACCAGGCAAGACGACAACATTTCTCCGACATCGACTAAGGTGAGTCAAACCCTTTCTGCCGCTCAATGACACACAAGCCTACAAAAGCACGATAACGTCTTCATCATCAGCGCGGTGCAGAGCTTTGTTCAGGATTAAATTCCTCTTGCGCCGCTCTTTCTTTAAACCCATGAACGTGGATCGTTGAAACAGAGTAGCATTTTTAGTTTAGTGGACAGGGCTGGTTCTCCTACTGCGTTCCCGCCGGTACATATGTTCCGAGGGGATGTTTAAGTAGAACATCAGATAAAGCATGACTTTTGGGTGTTGGAACCTACATTTACGGCCGGACCTGCGCGAGACTAGGATATTACAGGGACCCTCACAGTAGATACTCTTCCGAGTGGAGAAGTAGGGTAGCAGCTCCGTTGCGACGTCTATGATAGCGAGATGAGCACCAGGATCTGTAACTTGTTTCATGCCTTCAGGGCGCGCGCGGCAGATTTGATAAATGAGAGCACCGCGGCTGGATCAGGTATGCCTCCTAAGGAAAGTTCAGCGTAGCACTCGATTCCGGCAGCTGGAGTATCAGTCTCGTATATGCCTATCACAACACGTTCATTTTTGTTTGCCGGCGGGTTCGATTCTTCTCCAGTGTCCCGTGTTTTATTTTTGGCTGCCCCAGATCTGATTGACGCGATTTAAAGTCGAGGTCGTGGATGACGCATCAAAAGCATCGTAGAATAGACAAAAGACACGAGGTATCTAGCCCGCGGGAAGGATCAGTGCGATTGAAACAGAGACTTAGTCTTCTGCGAGTCGAGGAGTGAACGGCTTAGATAATAGACAGCGATAGAAGAAGGTCGAGGCCTAAGCAAGGAGTTCGGTTTGTACCTACCGCTGGCTCAAGTTTGGTATGAGCCTTTCTGAGATATCAGAACAGCAGAGATAACCGGTGAAAAGGTTGGGGAACACACAGAAGTAAAGATCGCATGAGAGAGGCCCAGCTTGGCAGTGATGCGGTCTGTGGAAAGAGCCAGAACAGAATACTATGTGGATAATGAAATTTGAAGGTGAGCGAGCTAAGCGAAGTTTTGACTCAAGAGTCGGTCCAAAAATTGACAAAGGGTCTCATAACTACGCCAAAGGTGAATCGAACACCTACCGCCTGCTGAAAACGATTCCAGGTGGATGGAAGGCAAGCATGCTAACCGTTTAGGCATCGGCGTACAACAACGTAGATGGTGACGCATAGTCAGGGAAGAGATTGGCTTGTATTGTCGAGATAAGCAACATACTTTCCCTCTAAATCCCACGGAAACGCGCTGCTAGTGTCATATTCTGCACCTAGGTTAACTCTTGGTGATTCTGAGCAAAATCTTCCCCACGAAGTAATTTAGGTACTTACCTTGGATTCGGCCTTGCAGTTTGGTCCCGCGTTGAAGACATACTTTCAATACCTCTGATCTTCGCTTGGTCCTCATGAAACCTACCTTCCATGAGGCGTCCAAAGACCAAAGTCCGACAAAATGCGACCTAGCGAGAAGGAAACATTAATATGAGACTGAAGATGAGTGATTACGGTACTTGTGGGTGCGGCTCAAGAAGCTGCCGTTCGGCTGTCACTCACTGTCCTTGGTCGTGCTGCATGTCTCTTGCTTCTGTTGCCTCAGGTCTAGCCAGAATTGTTCATTTCATCATGCCCTTCCAGAGGGCTGACCATCGTCTGTCTTACGACAAGGTTGGTAATCAGGGAAGTGACTATCTTCGCGAAAGAACCCTGACTCACTCCTGATTCGACATAGATCCTCAATCCGGGAGCCCAGGCTTGTCTAGCGAAGAGAGGATGAACGAGACGTGTTATTCCCCGAATTTCTATTCAAACTTTGCAAGATACTGTGAGTAGAAGAAACGAAAGGAAATGAATGCTGGAATGAAATGTTAGACTTCGCTTCGAATCACTGCCGTGGATACGGCGACAAGCAAGTATCCAGATATGACAGAACAGGACGATTAAAGATAAAAATGAGCTGCCGAGATCGATACTACCCGTGCACGTGTGGGGTCTTTCGATCTGTTGTACTGCATATTGGAAAAACACGGCACGACATTCATCGATAGCCAGTGGAATGAACGTCGAACATACCGTCGTGTTTCATCGGCTGGTTGCTCCTTTAAGTATCGTCCCGTATCAAAATTCTGCTCATTCGTGGATCAGAGATTTCATAACAGGTAACAAATGATTTACGCACTGTTCTACGCTCGTTGATCCAGTATATCGTCCACACGGAGAAGAAAGACTCGATTACGTGGGTCCTACGAAGAAGAATCAGCATCAGTTAAATGATAGAATCAGGCTTTGTCGCAATGTGTGGGGATAAACATAAAATGCATGGATCAATACCAAGTATGGGGAAGTTCTGTGTCGGAGGTGGATAGTCGAATCCCCGCAGAATCATGCATCGCAGCACCCGTAGCTCAGCGGCCGCGTCTTGTACGTGTAATTACACCTTCACCTTTGTTTGGGCTGTTCGATTCCCTTTGAGGCTAGTGTGGAATATCATGCTGTCAATCATCCCAACAAGGTAGTTGAACAACCGAATAGGTAAGAACGTGCGTATCCTTTGGTATTGCCTGACGTCTCTTTCATGGACATCCATTCGTATTCAGTACAGTAGTTACATGAAAGTATCTGGAGTCATAATGTCAGAAGGAAGTCTAAAAGTTGAGATGAAAGGCGGACGTGCAATTACGATATTAGGGCGTCTTTTTCGTGTCACGGTAATCACATCAGGACTCGCACGGAGCTGAAGAAACGTCGTACTCCCAAACCGGTACGCATATATGCAGTACTCTCAAGTCCAACGATGAAGCAATCAGTGTCTTGACAGCGAGCGATGGGATTCGCCTCACCAGTCCTTGCTTCGCCCACATTCCGTATCTAAGCAGTGGTCAGCTATGTCGTTGCCGAATGAAATCAAAGCGGACCATCGTCTGCGTGGAGTATACACGTTTCTTGGGTGCTTTGAAAACCTCTTCTCATTTGTTGGGAGCTGTTATCATAGACGTAAGGACCGGACTCTAATAGGCGAGTGAGCGAGAGAAAGGCTAGGTAAGATATGACATACCTCAGTTGGACTGCATCTGATTCTCCGGAAGAGCGCGAGAATGTCTACTGTAGTATAGTCGCTGCGCTGTGAATGGCGGGAACTTGACGCAAGGCACTGTGGAAAGAGGTGGTACATGGATACGAGGAGGTTGAGACACAGGAGGCGAGGAGCGGTTATCGCGCGTCGTCAAGCTTAGGGTTTGGAACCGGTTTGGGAGAGATGGATATACTGGATTTTGAGAAGTCGCTGTCCTGCCATTTGTAAGAACTACAGCCCATTCTTGCAAACGTCCAGCTGGGTGTTGGTCACTTTCCATGACCATCAGTCGGGCCTTGCCATAAGTGGATGACGTCGAGATGATACTGTCTCGCTGCTGCAGTCATCGTGCCGTCGAACTATTGATTCCCTCAGCTCCCCGTGCGGATTATCTAACTATTACATACCATTGGCCAAAGGTCCTCCCTAATCCGAGCCGTCGGCGGTCCGAGCTGTTCCTCCTTTCCACAAATCGATGGCGTCCGAGTACGAGCGAGCTAGAACTGTAGGTGTTCGTCGTGTTTCAATTTTAACCCTCGGTATGGGTGCATGAAACGAGTATAATATTAACTGCATGGGAGCGAAGATATGCTGTGCTGAAGTTTTGGTTGGTGTTGGTATTAGTGACGAAGAGAGTAAGATCAATAGATGCAAATAGTGCCGCGTGCGCGCTTGGATGGAGAGGCGCACCTTTATCCTCTCTCTCCCCCAGTTCGGGCCATTCGTCAGTCGCTTAGGCAGCCCATGCCTTATCGCTTCCACGCAAAATGTTACCTCTTCGCTTTGCAGCTTGGGCGTTGCGTCTCTGACTATCAGTAACCTTTTTTGCAGTTCGACTGCCTCTGAGCCACCACTCAGTCTTGGCCAAGTCGGACCCTTTCCCAGCCCTTTCCGCATTTCAGTCAGATGAAACATCGTCCTTTTACTGGAGAACCGAATGCGCCAACGAGAAGAACGAAACTCAGAATAAGTACAGGTCATACGGGCGCCACTTTTCGTTTGGATTCGCTCCAATATGTTGAAAGCAGCTACCATCCTTTGAATCTTTCGATCCCACCCTCCGGAATAGAGAAAACTCACTACAACATCGCCAAAATTCAAAGGTGATGTTCTCGACATGCATATATTCGGTTACTAATTGATCCTGAAGAATTAGTTTGTACCAATCTATTGAAGACCGGCCATACTCCCCCAGTTTGAACAGCAAGCGGTCTTGTCGAGCGGTCATGAATACAATACCACCCGTGCCTTTCGGATACGCGGTGGATATTCCTTAGCTGAAACTGACACCTGTCACGACCCTGGAGAATGTTCTGTTTCCCAGTTGGTAGCGAGAATGGTGCCGTGCACGTATGAGTATCCAGCACACTAGATAGCAGGGTGCACGAGACTGTTACAAGGCATGAACTTTCCGCGGTAGGACACGCTGGGGTGTTCGAACTATTGAAGGACGCCGCTGATGGGTAAGACCAAGCATCGATGTTCGAACAGTCCCCTTAGTGGTGAGTGCCTTGTACGTTAAGACGATGCGTACCTGACATCTTTAACAGTCCCTCGGGCTGCGTCTGGAGAGTTTGCCACCAAGGGCGTAAAAACTGAATGCAAAATGTAATCTCATAAAGGTTGGTTTCTTATTCTTGCGCTCTCTTCTTCTCTGATATCGAACTCTAGCAACGGAAACGTTGCTCGATTCTTGCTTGTGGAACGTGTTCCCTTATTGAACGGAGAGTGTCTTTTGGTATTATAACTGTTACCACGTGAATCCTCGATAAACATTGTCGCCTACGGACTCTGAGGAGCTATTAGCACAACTAGTGCGTATTTATCATAGAATCACGTACCCAATTCTAACCATCGTCCGAATTAAGAGACATCGCCGAGATCAAGAAGCGCAGTATCATGCATTGAGCTCCTCCCGGACATGTCACACAGCTCCCAAGAGACGGGAGCTGTTTGGAATCAATTCAACGCCAGCTACGACGATTTTCTCTCCAGTTGATAATGGTTCGTTCTCATTATTCATTTCAATGTAGGACAACAACAGCGATGTATTGATATGATATGTGTAGAGTTACGGCAGATTTTCCTATTCCCGTCCGCAACAGTTTCTGGGGCGTCCAATTGTGGTGGATAGCCTTCGTACGTTAATATCCACAAGAGAAATCCGACGACAGGCTAACATTGGAATACAGGTACGCGTCAACGCGACAAGGTATCTAGGAATTAAACCACGTGTGTCTAATAACGGTAGTGCGAAATAATCATGTCATCGTATGGATCTGCTTGGCGCAAAGGCGCCACTTTTTGAGGAGGTTTGGAAAGGATTCGTGGTTCTTTGCTCAGATTCGGCGAAGAGGAAGATGTAGTGAATGGCTTTCGGTATCTTCAACGGTATGTTTGTTCACGTGGTGTCTTCAAGCTGTTGTTGAACCTGGCACTTCGAACGTCGACGACCATGGGAGCAGAGAGAGGACCATACAGATTTGGGATGCCGTTGACATCACGTACTCGTATACATCAGATCATTGATGTATCTCGCAGAACAGCTGGTGTTTCAAAGGGAGTGACAATAGATATTCACACCGGGAGTGAAAGTAGTATCTCGGAGTTTACGGTGGTGACGAGCGAAAGGCCGATTCAGAAATTAATGACAGTCACATCACAGGAGTGCGTCGTCGAATCACTCTTCGTACACAATACACCTTGCATGCACATCCTCGTGGTCGAATGACAGGATGGATTTAACGTAATCTCCATGTGTCATTATGTTCTTCGAGTATGGTCCATTCTGGCTGCCTTCATACTTGACCCTCCGACAAGTGCCCACCTCGACTCAAGCAGCTCTTCTCTACACTCCCTGGAACGATCTTTCGAAGACTATGAAAAGGGAAAAAGTGCGTATAGTTAATCCATGGTCCTTTTGAGCACTTGCTTACTCCGAGAACGTTAGCGCCATCGAGAATTTGTTCCAGTCTCACTAAGGCAACGCTTCCGCTCCGTTTTCGATTCCATTCCGCACATAGCTGCTGGTTTGGGCCAGAATATGAACATAATCGCGCCTTCAGAGTCTCAGGGGGAGATAG